GAGCTAATCATCGTCAGAGAATTAGAGGGAGGATATTAGAACCACACTGGGCTTCTAATTATGAGGACAAGAGGATTAGTCTAGCTCTAATTAGTCAACTAGGACCAACTAGAACTAGAACTATAAGAACTAGATGAGGCCCCAAAACTTGTATGAAACAATAGAGCAAAACCCCCTAGTATATATAGGTTGGAGGAGGAGGAGAGAACAACCACCAATGGGGAAAAGTCCCTCCTTGGGGTTGCGGCCATGGGAAGGAAGTAGGACTCTGTTCGGGGAGTTGATAAGTTAATTCCTGTGGATGTCTACTTGCCGGGATTTTTTTATAGACCAGAGGGGCTATCTAAATCCTAAAGTAAAGGCGAGCGATCGAAGTAGAAGTACCAATGGCTGAGTGTCATGATAACATCACAGTTCCCACCGCTATTTCAAAACCATACATGAACCTCATAGCTGATTACTCCTTTTTTTCTTTTTAAAGTGGCTTTCTATGTCCCCTTGTCCAGTTCGCACCCCCACAAGGAAGGGGGGGGGGTGCCTTCCTACTCAGGCCCTTGTGGCCCAAGTTGCCTTCCACCTCTTGGACTTTTTAGGCCCGTTGATATTTAAATTAAATAGAAAATGTTCGAAATACCTCTAGAACATTATATATATTATTTAACATATCTTGAAACATTTACACCTATATATAATTTATCGATAATACCTAGTATTACCCGATACTCTCCGAAACCCTCCCGGTGACCCCGAAACGCTCCCGGATCCTCTCGGAACTATTCCGAATATTCATGAAATAATTCCAAAAATATATACTCATGACTCCTGTCCTACTAACACTTAGCAGATCATGATTTCCTTAAGCTTGTGACCCCGTAGGTTCAGTAACTCATAGACATGAACGAAACCGTTTGTTCAATGACCGGCAACGGGACCGTGGACGTCCGTATCAGTCCCTATGAGCAAAAAAAATGATATTTGAGTGAACCTTTGGTTATCATGTGATGTTCCCCTTGCTTTGCGATACTTCACAAAACTTGGGATGCATCGGTATCCTCCCGAGTCATCACCATGCTCGTTATACTGAGATCCTCATTACCGGTTTTGTCCTTCTTTCTCGTTATTGTGTTCTGGCATCCCCGTGACGAATTTACATGTGTTTGGCCAGATGCTGATTGATGTTTTCACACAGAGAGGTCCCTAAGAATATCTCCCCATCATCGGCGGAGCAAATCCCACAGTCGAGCTATCTGGCCACTTGTCAAACTTTCCAATGAACCTGTAAGTTGTCGTTATGATCACCGTGTTACAGGTCACGTTTGAGCAACCCCAAAGCCCACCATATGGTAAGAAGTGACCACGATAATCTCATGGTCTAAGGAGCAATCTCACAAGTTAACACTCCATGTTATTACAATTGAATGCAGATGATATTAACTCAATTCATAATAAACAAGATTGGGTCGATTCAATATGAACGTTCTTCTAACGTCATAATCTCAATGTTCTTTTAGGATCATCATTACACTTAATGATATCCTAAGATCCAGAAAACATGATTACCAACAACACTTGAGCTACTCTTAGAGGCGAGACTAGGAACCTTTTATTTTACCGTTTATCATTTCACAAGTGCATACGAGTTTTCCACCAAATCGCATATTTCAGGATCATAGCAGTTATAGCATGAAATATAAACTCTTAATAATGAATATGGAAATATAATAATACAAATATTATTGCCTCTAGGGCATATTTCCAACAGTCTCACACTTGCACTAGAGTCAATAATCTAGTTAGCACTTTTAACCTTTACACCAATGGCAATCTGGTGTCAGTCCATGCTTTGCTTCTGGTATGGACTTCGTCCTATCGAATCTGACAACTTCAGATCCGTGTGTATCATTTACATTTCAATGCATCCGTCCTGCTTTCACATAATTCATAATCTGTGTGAAACAAGCTTAGTATATGTTGAATCACTAGCAAGACCTTTGATTCCTTAGATTGAGCAATAGAACCACTATTTGAGAACAGTGTTCCATTTGTACAATCATCTAGAACCATACCTAGTTCATAAATTAACCCTTGATTCATCACCCTCTATTGTTGATTCTAAAGCGACAATATACTCAGCCTTCTGTTATATAATTCACCATAGTAACTTTCTTGGACCAATTCCAACTTACTATGCCACCATAAATCATTTAATTTAAATCAAAATTCACTTGGAGCACCGATTGAAGATTTTCGTTGATGTACCACTTACATCAAGCATGTATGGATGTAATTCTTTACAATAATCTCTTCATTTTCTTCGTATGCGAGAAACATGTCCTCAGTACTCAATGAGATTTTCACTTTTGTCATATGATCAACAATTTGACCATTACATTAACTTTAATCACAATTTACTTGGAGTAGTGGACATATCTGGTGATTTACATACCCTGGAATTAACACAAGTGTGATTGAAATCTTGTATTTCACTCATCAGTATTTCAAGATACCGATTCTTGCTAAGAACTCCTTCCATGTGACTTTGACAAGAAAACTCTTTGTTGAGGTTTTTCATACTAAACTGCTTTAGTACTTTGTCAATATGTATTTTGGATAAGCCTGGTTAGGCACTACTATCTCCATAGATTAATATATCTAATACAAGGACTATATTGCCTAAGTACTTTATTGAAAAAATTATTTTCAGTAAAGTCTTATTTCATGTCAAGAAATATAATTTCCAATCAACAATGTGTCATGCACACACAGTGTTTAGAAATATTATCATGCTCCCACTTACTTTCTTGTAAATACAAGCATCTTTGCTTTATCGATGAAATTATATTATTTGATCAATTCATAAAATCAAAGATTCCAACTGCTCTATGCTAGCTTCAGATCATTACTAGATCTCTTGAAGTTTGCAAACTTACTAGCATCCTATGGATCGAGAAAATTACCTTGGACCATATCAAATATACAACCTTGGTTCTATTTCTATCTCATGGGAATCATTTTGATATCCATTTATTATATCTCATAACTAAAATATCTAGTAATTGCTAGTTCAATCCGAAGTGACTTTTAGTATTATTATGATGAGACAATCTCGTCATAATCAACTCCTTGATCTTGTCATAAACTATTTGCAACAAGTCAAGCATTATAAAACATTCTTATTTTTGTCAATCTATAGATCCATCACTACACATTAGACTTTAAGTCTTTCAGAGGGTTTATCAAGTTCTAAACTTGGATTGTGTGTATGGATACTATCTCGGATTATTTTGGAGTATAGCAATACTAAAGTTAGGGCCCATCAACGCTTCTCTATGTATCATAGGTTTGTTGTTTGTTTCAACAATATTTTGCCTGCACACCCTGAAGGTCTGTACAAATTTTCCAACCTATATAGTTTAGTTGCAAGTTCGACCAACGCCTATATATCCTATGTAGAGGCTCCTGTATCAGTCACGGTAAGAAATTTTAGAACTACTTCTAGCATTTCCTTTCCTTGACCTGATCACGAATATTCCGCAACCTCATCGAATTGCACTGTCCTCCCACTCACTCTTTTGCAGAAACCATTTTCTTCAAAAATTTCCACACTCTATGACAAAATACTTTGCCTCACCATAGTGATAGAGGAATACCCAACCATTTGGGATAACCTAGAAAGTAACACTTATTTCAACAAATTTGATGGCACTCCTTTTAGTGTAAAAGCCATAGTTTCTAAAGCATTACATTAAAAAGTATATTGGTGAAATAATTAATGTCATCTTTCATCGCACCATGTCATACATAGTTGGATTACATCTACTCAAAACACTCTACTCTTAGTAGTGTTTCTAGAATTGGGTTTAGAAATAATTTGAATAACAAAAGAAATTTTTGTCTGGGTAGAATGGGGTATGCATTCTGCCATTGGGCACGGAAGGTGCTTGAGAACACTTTTTGAAATAAAATTTGGGTCTAAAAGGGCCCCAGTTTAATAAAACAAAACGAACTAGACAATTAAAGAAAAAATTACTTCCATAATAATTTAAAATATGAAACTTTTCAGGATATTTGTGAAACGAAAACCATCATATATAAATCACAAGAAAATTTTAAACACCAAAAAGCAATTATTTGAATTAGTTTTAGTGCAACAGAAACATTCTAGAGTTTAAAAAATACCATAAATGATAATCTTTGGGAAACTTTTATTATGGAAATATTTCTTATTGAATTTTAAAAGTTAAATGAAATGATTTAAGAACACTCTCAAAAACACAATATTTTTCAAAAGTTTCTATATGGAGGGAAGAATATTAGAAAAGAAACTATAAATAATAAAAGTCCTAATATAATTCAAAATTTTATTTCTGTCCAAGTTTTACTTAATAAAACATGGTTACATTTTTGGGGTGTTACATAGGGTCACCGCTAAGAGGGTGATGAGATTGGTGACCCTTTCTTGATCGCAAAGTTGGTGGAGATTCTTTTGGAAGATCGGATTCCTTAGCCTGGGATCATATCATGTCCCTTGGGCCTGGTTGGCATTGAAGTCGGTCTATCGTCTGGCTTCCCAGGAGATGAGCCACACACAATACCTTGTACCATCAGTAACTTCTTATAAGAATTTTATGGGTATGTTACCATTTCAAATGGTTTATGCAACATCATGGCATCTACCTTGAAGATAAAACATAAAGCATATTGTCTTGTTAAACAACTAAATTATGATTTCAGATTGGCTGGAGAGAAAATCTTACTTGACATGAGTGCTTTAGATGAATGTCGGAATTAATCTTATGAAAATACTAAGATGTTTGACAAGTGTTGACCACTCACCACAATACTTTTTTTTGCTCACGCAAGCATAAACACTGAAGATGTTCACTGACACCACCTCATAGACTCCAGTACAATTACAACCAATTAAAACATAAAGAGTGCAGCTAAAAGGTTGACATGACGAATACTAAGCATTCATTCAACACCACCTCGATGCTCCTCTACTGAAATGCCCACGGGTTCTCCCTGCGGATCTTCTCCTCCTCCTCTGGCAAGTAGTCGTTCTGGATGTTGAAGAAATTACGGATCTCCTCCGGAGGTTTGCCACTAATCATGTCTGCAGCAGTCTGGCAAGTCAGGTCCAACAACCCCTTGATGTTGAGGTAACTTGCAGCCTGAGAGGGGGCAGAAAGAACCATAGGGTGTCAGAGAGAAGCATTAATCTATAAGGACTATAGAACATGGATAATTAGATAGATTGTCTTGCATTAAGATGTGTTACAAGCTAATAAAACACAAAACACCACATGAAGTGACCTATCGTGTGAGAGAGAAGCATTAATATATTAGCATAATCATAAAACACAAAACAACACATGAAGTGACCTATCGTCTGATGTTTCCGCATGTTAATCACATACAATTTGCTGGCACAATGATAGTGCATATGATAAGTTCACACTGATCATAATAAAGGTTCCTAGGTTACGCATAATAATGACATACACATATGAGTGAAACATATCAGATCACAAGATGATACCCTAACCTATTTACTAGGATTTTGTATGGCCGACCAATGTGTACATCGCTAATAAATCATAATCATGTATAATATAAACCTAATCTAGTCCAATCGAATCGAACCAAATCTACCTTGATGGTTGTACGAGGAGTCCATCCAATCTAATATAAATAGTAGCAAGACGGGGTAGCCCAATCTAGATTCAAGTGCCAGAAGGGGAACATCAAGAAAAAGTAGATCTAGAGAAACTAAATGGTTGAATCAAAGGATATCATACCTTGATGAGGTCGAAGAGAGTGTCAGGGTCGACATTGATGAATTCTGCGTCCCAGATCTTGAGGTCCTCGGCAAGGGCGGCGGGAGCCATGGTGTCAGATGCAGTAGCACATGTGGCTCCACTAGAGACGTCGACTGTCTTGGCCAGGACATGTTTGTTGCAGTACTCGATGACCTTGGAGAGGACCTTGGAGTTGATGTTGGGGATCGGGATGCCTTTGTCAACGCAGTCATCCTCGATCATGTGGCGGATGGTCTGCGACTCCATGGTGACTGCCTCCTCCACCTCGAACTCCTCGCCATCGGCCGACTTGAGCATGATCATCTTCTTCTCACCTGCCTCTGCGGTCGCCATCACTGCTGGATCTGGGCTGAGGTGGGGGCAGATGAGTTGGGGATCAGGGAAACCCTAGAAACGCGGCGGCGGCGACGACAGTAGAGGAGAGGAAAAGATGGGAGATTTGATTGCTGCGGGCTGGGCTGGGCTAGGGTCCATGGGAATTTATTTATTGAGGCGGGGTAACACGTGAATGGACACATATCTATCGTACATCACAAGGAAACGAAGCCAAGTACTACCAAACCAAATCGAACCAAATTTGGACGGGATTTGTTTTATGAGATCCGTAGGAGCAGGGGTCCGAGTACATATTCGACCGTCCGATCTATATGTAGTGCATGCAAGGCTAGTGGTGGCAATTTTACAAAAAGACTTCCGCCAATCTGCTCTTTGCTTTTGCACAAAACCCCTTTGTCTTCCCCGTGCAACCCATCCCTCCACCAGCTAGCCGTGGATCCCGATCTAGCATGGTGGGCACCACACCACCGCGTGCCCCCAACGCCACACATGCCTCCTCTTTGTCATGGCTGCCCACCACCACCACGACCCCCTTCTTCTGCCATCTCCTCTATGCCCTTCCCTGTCTCCTCCAACGCCGACCTTCGCAAGTACGTGACCAACGTTGGAGTTCCTTGATGCATCGCGAATGTCCTCCTCTGTTCCAGTAGCCCCACCACCCACCATCACCACCACCTCCCCTTCCTCCTCCTCGGCAGTGGTAGCGGCTAGGCGAAACCCTAGAAGGGTGAGGAAGGGGAAACATGGTGGTGGTGTAAGATAGGAAAGATGGATGCTTTTATTGTTGTAAGGTGGGTTGGGCTTATAGGGTCCAGGTTGGGATATTTAATGGGGGAGAGTCGAGCAACGCCTGGTAGGATAGAGTGTTGTAACTCACAAGGAAGCGACCCAAATTTGGACCATATAGACCGATTAAACATTGATCAATGTTAAATCTTGGGACATCATTGTATTGTGGTTTCCTAATTTGGCTTCAACCTGAGCACTAAAGTTTGTCATAGACACTTAAATTTAAGTTTCTATATAGGAGAATATTGTACTTATGATAAAAAGTGCTCATTGCAGATAACCTAGACAGGTTAACTATATGATTCAAAGAAGAAATGCGGAGGTAGTTGGTCTCCATCTACCATCAAATATTATGCAATAGTATTCAATGCTTTGGTGGACTAGGGATCAGGGAAGATCCTAGTGCGAAAGCGGTGGTGGACTTGGGATCAGGGAAAACCCTAGTGCTATAGCGGTGGTGGTGGAAGAGAGGAAAGATGGGCGCTTTGGTGCAAGGTGGTCTGGGTTGGGGGGTTCTGGGGCATTTATTCAATGAGGCAGGGTAATGTGTAGATTGATAACTACCGTATTTGTGTCTCCCAATGAGAAGGAAACCAAACCAAATTTAGACGAAATTTGTTACAACCGGAGAGGGAGCATCGGTGTGGACAAACCTCCAGTGCTTGGGGCGACGGCATCATTGGGTGAGCACCTACCACAGTCGCGCAGTAGTCGTCTCGGCCCCGTCCTTGGGGGGCTCACTGTCATTCGCGGCTGCCACCGTGACCTCATGGAGGTCAAACATGAACCTCTCATCAAGATGCTGCGAGGAAGAGGATCTGGTCGGATGAGGATGCTGGTGGTACCTCAACCACATTGCCAGGAAACTTTTCTCTATCTTTTCTCTCACTCTGGAGTATCTAGGTGACATTAGAGTTGGTTGATGCGTTGGCTTGTGAGAATCACTAAAACTTTCCAAGAACTAAAATTGGGAAAAAGCTAGGTTTTTATTTGGTCAAGTAGTCTAACCACCACCTCTAGACCTACTTACGATCCTACAAAGGCAGTCACTGGAATCGAGCTCATACGTCGCAATTGCCGGAAAGCAGATCAGATCTTCTTACTTGTAGCCTCACCAACTCCTCAACGTGCTGTGTCGACCATCTCCAGGCCATGCCACCCCTACTATCATTTCAACATCGCCGATCGGCCATGACACATCCACCGCCTTGCAAGTGTTCGATGAGTTTTTATTTTTTTCTTTTCCTTGTTTTTATTTTGTTAATTGAATAGAACCTAGTCATTTAAATTGAAGATGAAGAGGCTGAGAGAGATGATATTAGTGGACTCTTCATCATCATTTGAGGAACAAGATGACGCTAACTTTGAAATAGTCGCTGGCATGATCTTCAACGATGATATTCGGCAGGCGAGGAGATGATCACACTTCGTCCGCATACACTTCAACTGTGATAAGCGGAGGGCCATGCCAAGATCATGAGAGATTATTTTGTTGGGTAACGTAGCATGCAAATTAAAAAAAATTCCTACACTCACGCAAGATCTCTCTAGGAGATGCATAGAAATGAGAGGGGGAGAGTGTGTCCACGTACCCTCGTAGACCGAAAGCAGAAGCGTTTGTTCAACATGGTTGATGTAGTCGTACGCCTTCTCTTTCCGACCGATCAAGCACCGAAAGTACGGCACCTCCGAGTTCTGGACATGTTCAGCTTGATGACGTCCCTCGAACTCTTGATCCAGCAAAGTGTCGAGGGAGAGTTCCATCATCATGACGGTGTGGTGACGGTGATGGTGAAGTTATCCGCGCAAGGCTTCGCCTAAGCACTATGTGAATATGACCGGAGGCGTAACCTATGGAGGGGGGCGTCGCACACGGCTTGGAGCAATTGTGTGTCTTAGAGCCACCCCACCCCCGTATATAAAGGAGGGAGAGGGGAGGAGGCCGGCCCTAGGCGCGCCCCAAGTGGGAGGAGTCCCACTTGGGCTCCTAGTAGGATTCGCCCCCCTTCCTTTTATCGGAGGGGGAAAGGGGGAAGGAGAGGGAGAGGGAGAAGGAAAGGGGGTGGGGGGGGGGGCGCCACCCCCTCCCCTAGTCTAATTCGGACTCCTCCCTTGGGGGGCACTCAACCCCTATGTGGGCTGGTTTGCCTCCCTCCTATGGCCCATATGGACCATATCTTCCCCTAGGGGGTTCCGGTAACCCCCCCGGTACTCCGATATGTACCTGATAGATTCCAGAACACTTCCGGTGTCCGAATACTATCATCCAATATATCGATCTTTACCTCTCAACCATTTCGAGACTCCTCATCATGTCCGTGATCTCATCCGGGACTTCGAACAACATTCAGCCACCAAATCACATAACTCATAATACAAATCATCATCGAACGTTAAGCGTGCGGACCCTACGGGTTTGAGAACTACGTAGACATGACCGAGACACTTCTCCGGTCAATAACCAATAGAGAAACCTGGATGCTCATATTGGTTCCTACATATTCTATGAAGATCTTTATTGGTCAAACCGTAATGACAACACACGTCATTCCCTTTGTCATCGGTATGTTACTTGCCCGAGATTCGACCATCGGTATCTTCATACCTAGTTCAATCTCGTTACCTGTGATGTCTACTATGCAACTTTATTCTTGTAGACTCGTGTTGGGCCTCCAAGTGCAGAGTTTTGTAGGACAGTAGCAATTTTCCCTCAAGTGGATGACCTAAGGTTTATCAATCCGTGGGAGGTGTAGGATGAAGATGGTCTCTCTCGAATGACCCTACAACCAAATACAAGAAATCTCTTGTGTCCCCAACACACCCAATACAATGGCAAATTGTATAGGTGCACTAGTTCAGCGAAGAGATGATGATAAAAGTGTAATATTGATGGTAGAAATATATTTTTATAATCTGAATAAATGAAAACAAAAAGGTAGCAAATAGTAAACAAGCACAAAAACTGTATTGCAATGCTTAAAAACTAGGCCTAGGGTTCGTACTTTCACTAGTGTGATCTCCCAACAGTGTTGACATAGTTGAATCATATGTAAATCCCTCAAGTGCGGCGTAGAGTTCACTCCAAAATTACTTGTTATATAGAAATTGTTGTCGGGCACGAAACCACCACAGAGCTATTCTTTAGAATAACACCTTAAGATGCAAATCAACCAACGCCCTAGTGTCACCTAGATATCCCAATGTCATCGCGAGTATCCATGGGTTTGATTATACGATAAGCATCACACAATTTCAGATTTATCTATTTCATTCCCAAGGAGTGCCCCAAAGTATCTATCGGAAAGTCAAGATGAGAACATGTGCCAACCCGTATGCATAGGCCCTAAAGTCACGAAACTCGCAAGTTGATCACAATAATACACATCAAGTAACTCAATTGGGTATCCCAATGTCACTACAAATATCCTCATGCAAAACACATATTAACTGCTCTTGAATCCTTAAAGACTCAATCCGATAAGACAACTTCAAAGCGAAAACTCAATACAAGATAGAGAGGGGAATACCCCATATGATTCATCTATGTCAACAAAGCCAGCATTACATCAAGATCGTTCCATCTCAAGAACACGAGAGAAAGAGGGATACAACACATAGCTACTAGTACATACCCTTAGCCCCGAGGGAGAACTACTCCCTTCTCATCGTGGTGGCCGCCGGGATGATGAAGATGGCCACCGGAGATGATTCCCCCCTCCGGTAGGGTGCCGGAACGGGGTCTAGATTGGTTTTCGGTGGCTACAGAGCCTTGCAGTGGTGGAACTTCTGATCTAGGGCTACGCCGAAGGGTTTCAGAATATTTGGGAATTTATAGTGCAAAGAGGGGGTGCAGGAGGCCACCGAGGTGGGCACAACCCACCTGGGCGCGCCAGGGGGCCCTGGCGCGCCCTGGTGGGTTGTGCCCCCTCGAGGCACCCCCAGGTGTAGCTCAGGCCCATTGGGTTCCTTCTGGTCCAAAAAAATCTATGTAAAGTTTCATTGCGTTTGGACTCCGTTTGATATTGATTTCCTATGATGTAAAAAACAAGCAAAAATAGCAACTGGCACTGGGCACTGGGTCAATAGGTTAGTCCCAAAAATGATATAAAGTTGCCATAAAATGATTGTAAAACACCCAAGAATGATAAAATAACAGCATGAATACTTCATAAATTATAGATACGTTGGAGACGTATCAACCAGCAAGT